CTATTGGTCGTGCCGCCTCTGTGGGTACATCAGTGGCTGTAAGGCATTTGCTCTGTTGGCGAGGTAGGTGACGCAAACTACACGGTTCGCAAAGTAAGAATTGTTGCAAGGGACGGTATGTACATTGGCGAACAAACGTCTCAGCATGTACTTCGGCGTGGTAAACCACAAGCCGTATAAGTGTTTAACACCTACGTGGGGACCCATCTCGTCTTTCAGGTACATGCTGCGGGAACAGGAATGGCAACGTGAGTTGTTGCAACAGCGGGCGCGTGGGCAGATTGCTCACGTGTCCTCAGCTCTAGAACAATAATGCCAGGCAGTATGCAAGTATGTTCCTCCACCTCGTCCTGTAACATCCACCTCCCAGCGAGTACTGCCATCGGAACGCAAGAGTAGAGCATACCAGCCAGCGTTGACTCCACATAGATAGGAGGACAGGAGAAGGACGGGAGGAGGATGGGAGGAAGACGACAGTAGGGACGGGAGCAGGACGGGAGGAGGACGGGAGGAGCAACATCACGCAAGCGGAAGCAAGCAAGCGCAAGCGAACAATGACAAGCAAGCAAGAGCCAGCGACCAAATGCAAGCAAGCAAGGGCAAGCAAGAGCAAGCAAGCGAGAGCCAGCGATCAAGTGCAAGCAAGCAAGAGCAAGCATAGGACTCGCCATCGGAAATAGCTGGGGGGTGTCATTGGAAATAAGGGGGGGTGCCATTGGAAAAGGGGGGGCGGAGGGAGTGGCATTGGAAATGAGGGAGGTGCCATTGGAGGAAAAGGGGGGGGCGAAAGACAAATTTCTTCTGATGGGCTGGGATCCCTATAGGGCAAGCCTATTTGGATACTAGAGAAGCACGTGTAGATTGGCCATGTGTGTAGCTTTCACCCTGTTAAAAAGCTGTGCCGCCTTTTGTTAGGGCAGTCCGAGCACTGCTATTGTAAGAAAACGTGGCGTTTGGACGCCAACGGGTTGAGGCTGCCGTGATAAAAACTTGTCATCCTCCCCAAGGGATGTAACCTCATCCCTAGGAAATAACTGTGCCGCTGTTGTTGGGTCAGTTTAGGTATTGATGCAATGTTTTTTAGATAAAAGAACGTTGCGTCTCGAAGCCAACGGTGAGAGGCTGGCGTAAGGTCGTCTTGTCTTCTTGATGCCAGTTTTGACATAACGTAGCTGGTTGTATGGGTGAGAAGGTGTCCAAGCGAGGGTCTACCGAGGAGAGAGTCTAACAACTGCCGCAGTAGGCACGCATCGGCCCCAGGACCCTCGTGCTGTTTGTAATGTTTTTTTTCGGGTTTAGCACGAACCTTGTAGCCCAAGACGGCTGTACAAGAGACGAGTGCTTTTGTTGGTTGCAGTTCTTGGGTTGCTGCCCAGGGTTTGCGGGTGAGCCCCGAACCATATTGTCCTCCCAAGCCCAGCCCCGATGACCGCCACCACCAGTCTTTGTCCATTATGACCGTACGCGGCTGACTGTAATGCGAGAAGAAGACAGAATGTAAAAAGGCCTCGGAGTGAGATGAACTTTTCGATCTGCGCAACAACGCAACAACAAACAACAAACGCATTGCCTGTGTAGAGACAAATCCTTCTCCTACTCCTACTCCTGTACCTGCTCATCTCGCTTCTCCTCCTCCCCCTTCTCATAGGAATCCACCTCATCCTCCTTGTGCTATTTCTCCCCGTCGTTTTCCTCATCCTCATCCTCATCCTCATCGCATTCATCCTTTTCTTGTTCCTCCTCCTGCTCCTCCTGCTCGCCGTGCTCTTCCTTACATTCCTCGTACTCCTCCTCGTGCTCCTCATCCTCCTCGTCGTAGTGCTCCAGCTCTTCTTCTCCCTCCTCCGCCTCGCAATCCTCTTCCTCTTCCTCTTCCTCCTAGTCCTCGCATTCCTCCTCCTTCTCTTCGTTCTCTCCGTCCTTGTCATCCTCATCCTCCTCTTCCCTCCTCTTCTCGGCTTCCTGCGCCAAGCCAGGGATGCCTGCGCACGCTCGATGCCGCTTCCAGGATGCACCCTCGCCAGGGACCCCCTCGTCCATTACTCCCTTCTCCTCCTCCATGTCTCCTCGTCCATCCTGCTGCCGCCCTGCCAACCGCGCTCTCGCTCGAGGCATGTCTGCGATTTGCTCAAGCATGCCCCCCCCCGGAGAAGCCCTTTCTGCAATTTGCCAAGGGATCGTGTTCGCGCCTCAGCACCGGCCACCTCGATCGGGCCAGGGGCGCCCAGACCCCTCCCAGAGGACAACTCAACAGCAGAAGTGCAATCAAATGGTTCGTTTGGGTTTGACCCCTCCTCCCTCCTCCCTCTCGGAGCCCAGAGTTTCGAGGATAGCTCAGGCGAAACGGGCCAGACAATTCGCCCGCAGCATCTCGGAGCTCCGAATGGCGAGGATGTCGCCAGAGAAACAGGCCAGATCACCTTGCGTACATGTTCTCAGAGCCCAGAGTCACGAGGATGTCTCAGGCGAAACGAGCTGGACCCCTCGCGAGCATCTCTCAGACGCCCGAGTTGCCAGGATGTCTCGGGAGACACGGGCTGGACCACCTCGTGCACGACATGTGGGAGGCCTAATCTTTCCGAGAGCACAGTCTGACAGCAGAAGTGTAGTCATGCTTTTCGCCTGGGTTTCACCCCTCCCTCCTCCCTCTCGGAGCCCAGAGTTGCGAGGATATCTCAGGCGAAACGGGCCAGACCACCTCTCGCGTGGCATCTCGGAGCCCCGAATGGCGAGGATGTATCCAGCGAAACGGGCCAGATCACCTCGCGTGCAGCATCTCGGAACCCCGAACTGGGAGGATGTCTAAAGCGAAACCATTGGCCAGACCACCTCGCGCGCAGCATCAAGGAGCTCAGAGTTGCGAGGATGTCTCAGGCGGTGCCCAAACCCTTCCCAGATCACAATTTGGCAACAGAAGCGTAGTCAAATGATATGTTAGTGCCTGACCCCTCCTCCATCCTCCCTCTCGGGGCCCAGAATTTCGAGGATGTTTCAGGCAACGCGGGCCAGACCACCTCTAGCGCAGCATCTCGGAGTCCCGCATGGCGAGGATGCTTTCAGCGAAACAGGCCAGATCACATTGCGCACATTTTCTCAGAACCCATGGTCGCGAGGAGGTCTCAGGCGAGACGAGATGGACCACCTCGCGAGCAACTTCTCAGAAGCCAGAGTTTTGAGGATATCTCAGACGAAACGCGCCAGACCACGCGCGCGGCGTTTGGGAGTTTAGATTTGTCAGGATGTCTCAGGCGAAACGGGCCAGACCATCTCGCGCGCAGCTTCTCGGAGGTCAAAGTTGCGAGGGTGTCTCAGGCGTCGCCCAGACCCTTCCCAGATCACACTTCGACAGCAGAAGTGGAATCACATGAATGGTTCGTTTGGGTCTCTTCTCTCCTTCCTCCTCCCGCTCGGAACCCCTAGTTGCTAGGATATCTCAAGCGAAACGGGCCTGACCACCTCTCGCGAGACATCCCGGAGCCCCGAATGGCGAGGATGTCTCAAGCGAAACGGGCCAGACCACCGTGCGCACATTTTCTCAGAGACCAGACTCACGAGGATGTCTCAGGCGAGCCGAGCTGGACCACCACCCGAGCACCTTCTCAGACGCCCGAGTTGCGAGGATACCTCAGGCCAAACGCGCCTGACTACCTCTCGCGCGGCATCTCGGAGCCCAGAGTTACGAGGAGGCCTCACGCAAAACGGACAGAACCACCTGGCGCGCAACATCTCGTAGCCAAGAATTTGTGAGGATGTCTCAAGCGAAACGGGCCATACCACCTCTCGCGCGGCATCTCGGAGCTCAGTTTTGTGAGGGCGCTTCAGGCGAAACGGGCCATACGACCTCGCGAGCGGCATCTTGGAACCCAGAGTTGTGATGATGTCTCAGGCGAAACGGGCTGGACCACCTCGCGCGCGGCATCTCGGGGCCCAGAGGTGCGAGGATGTCTCAAGCGAAACGAGCCAGACCACCCTGCGCGAAGCATCTCGGAGCTCAGTGTTTCGAGGATATCTCAGACGAGACGCGCAATCCTGGCCAACCCGGAAACGCGAATTGTGAGGATGTCTCAGGCGAATCGGTTTGGACCAATTCATTTTTGTTGGGGATTTCTCTGTGCGCCCTTACCTCAGCCGGAACTAGCTTCTACGACATCAGCTTCGTGTTCAGCAAGCTGTTTGGGGGAAATCGACTCAAGACGAAAAACCAGCCCTGGGGACAGGGCGGAGATTTCCGGGGACCCCGAACGGTGCGGTGACCACACCGTGTGTTGAGTCAGTAGTGGTTTGGGGTGGCCGCACGGTTTTGGGACTTGGGTCGTTCTCCGAGGATGTCTCGGGCGACTGGGGCCTCCAAGGCCCCCAAACGGTACGGTGACCGCACCTTAAGGTGAATCAATGGGGTTTCGGGGGTGACCGCACGGTAGTGGGATGTGGGTCGTTCTCCGAGGACGTTTCTGGTAGTTGGGGTTTCCAGGGTACCAAAAACCTTGCGGTGACAGACCGTGCAGTGAGGTCTTTGGGAATTCCGAGGTCACCGCATGGTCTGTCACCGCACTACGTCGGGACCTCAAGCGAGAGAGGAGCGCTTGCAGGGTCCATGCCGACCTATCGATCCGATTCGATACCGATTGGCCAGCCCAACCCCGTTCAGTTCGGATGGTTTGACGATTCGACGCAACCCGATGCGCGCGGCGTTGTTGTGCATCATGGCGCGGCCGATCTGATTCCGACGCACGTTCAGGTTCAATTCGATTTTCATTGGTGTGTGTTATTTGCTGAGCATCTGCGGCTGTTTCTGCGAAATCCTGGGAGAGGTTCCTATAACCACTCCGAAGCGGCCCTGTGCGCACGCGCAGCCTGGAGGGGTGCAAGGTCAGCGGGTCTCGCAGTCCAGGACGCGAAACACCAAACGTAACACATTTGCCTCACATCCCCTACATTGTCGCCCCTTGGCCAGTATGCCAGTCAGTCAACACCTTCGCCTCATGGCCTGCAGAGGGGAGGCGGCTGTACGTGTTCGGCGGCTGGAACGGCAAGCGCGCGCTCAACGACCCGCTATCCGCACCCATGGGGGGAGAGAAGAGCAGGAGGCTGATCAGGTGGGAAGCATCCTCCATCCTCCATCCTCCAGCTCCTCCTCGTCTTCCTCCTCCTTCTCCTCCTCCTCCTCGTCATCCTCCTCCTCCTGATCCTGACCCTCCTCCTCCTTGTAAATATGAACTTGTCGCTGTCTATCGCCATGTCTTGTATGTCGCCGCTGCGTTTCGCGCCTAATGCACTGGCCCATCTTTCGTGACTACAAAGATGCGTTCCAGTCTCCATCTTCACCGGCTCTCAGTACTCACATGGTGTTGAAATATTTGTCTGTGTGCGATCAAAGGTTGTACATTCTGGCAGGTTTGCGATCTGCTGCAGAGTTGACTTGATGATTTTTGTATATATGTCATGACTACAGCCCTACAGCGGAAGTCCATTGTAAGGTGTCTGTGATGTGGCACGACATCGCATGGTCGCTCGCGTTGAGTACAGATTCGAAGACCAGGTTGCATTTTGCATGTTCGCTGTGTTTTCTGTGTGAGCGTACGCGTGCGTATGGTCAGTATCCCCTCGCTCCGAGGATTTGCACATGCTGGACGTGGCCTCGAACTCGTGGACGGAGGTGCTCCGTCAACGGGCCAGAGCAATGCGCGTCATTCGGTGGCCCCAAAACGATGCGGTGATCGCACCGGAAGCTGAGTCAGTGGGGATTCGGGGTGCCCGCACTGTAGTGGGACTTGTGTCGTTCTCCGATGATGTCTCGGGTTACTGGGGCCTTTAAAGTCCTAAAGCCGTGCGGCGATGGACCCTGCGGTGAGATCTGCGGGGATTCCGAGGTCACCGCATGGTCTGTCACCGCACCGTTTGGGGACGCCCAGGTCATGGCGAACCGCATTGGGGGGGCGACCTCGGAGAAGGTTCGATGGCGCCTTCTCGAGCAACCGGCCTCCAATTTCAACCCATCTCGGCCTCCTCTTCCCTGATTGGGGGGGCTGGGTGGCGGAGTTCAGGGAGAGGCGCGCCGAGATTCGACGTCCGTGCAATCAAGCCGCGCAACCGCAATCACAGAAGTTGTTCTTGTAACGAGGTTCATAGTGCAACGCAGTGAGGTTCAATGCAAAGAAGTGTGATACAATGCAATGCGTATAACAGTTTAGCAAAGCATAGTACAGCATTTTTAGTATATCAAGCCATAACAGCATCTTGCAGCATTCGACAGCATAGAGTAGCATGGCAGAGCATGCAAAGGGCGTTTTCAGTGGATGTTTCGGGGGGCGGGAGTCCGAATCGACATCCATCCATTCAGTTGGACGGGGGGGGATCGGACCCCCTTGGGCAATGACGATGACGTCGACGTGCAGTTGCGTTCCGCCAGCGCCCAATGTCCCGGCCAGCGTCGTCGCTCTCACTTGTCTTTCCTTGCTTGTTTTCTTAATTCTTGCCTCATCAACGAGCGAAGTTTCCGTTTGCCGCGCCCGCCCATTGTCCTCTTCTTTCCGCCCGTCGTCAATGAATTCGTCGTTGTTTTGGTTTCGGTTGTCAACGTCGTCGTCGGTGTTTTTTTGTTGTTTTTCCCAAGCCTTGTCCAATGACGTAGCGATGTTTGTATCGAATGTCCCGCCCGCCCGCTTTGGTAATCCGCCAGTCGTCGTCGAGTCTTGAAGCGATCTTGTGGTGTCTTGGCGGGTTCGGGGCGTAAGGTGGGCCCAGTAGTTTTATGATGGTACGGAGCTGTGTTTCCTTCTCTCGGTGATGGCGATAATGATGACGCTGATGGCGATCATTATGATATGTCGCTCGGGTTCTTGGATACGGGCGCACGCTGGCCTGACACATCGCAGCGTTGAGTTTCGCCTCCGTTGAACAGTGCACCCGTTCCTCTTAATTCGACCGATCGGGAGAGCCGCGGTGCGTCTGTGCTCACGACACGGCGAGCATGATCAAACGCGTAATCACCTTAGATGAGTCCTCACCAGCGATCCCTCATCACATATTTCATCTCTTTGTAAGGGATTTTTCTTTGGGGATCCTTGGCAAAGGAACCCTTACAAAAAAGGGATCATTTCAACCTGGAAACAATCTGTACTGAAGGGATCACCCTTAATGAACCCCCAATACTGGGCCATTGCTAAGAAATCCGTGCTGAAGGAATCCGCTGGAAATTGCGAGCCCGTACTGAAAGAATCTTGAAGCAATCCGTGTCCAGGAGGCGTTTACAGTATGAGTCCTTACTACATGGATCCTTGGCAAAATGGGTCCTTGCTAACGTACGTTCTACTAAAGTATTACTACGGAGCCCGTTTAACATACTTACTATGTACGGAGTCACTGGTAAGGAATATTTAGTACATGGATCTTTGTTGGAACGGTTTGTTTTATGGCGGAATTTATGAGACAGTATTATTCACTATGACGGTCCTCTCTGTTACAGTTGGAGTTTGTGCGAAGTCAAAGGTTTTCTTCTAGCAGGGGATTGTTCAATGCGAGTTCCTTCAGTAAGAACCATCGACGATCAGCGTATCCCACCAGTCCATCCAGAAACGAATTTCATTCACTCGGATCCCTTTGGGAGTCTCTCGGAGGTACTTCGGGGCTCTTCTTGGGTGCCTTCTGGGCCCTCCTGGGGCTCTCCTGGTGAACGTTTGATTGCCTTTCGAGCCTTCTCGGTGCCATGTTGAAGGGCAAGACGGACATGTCAGGTGTCCAATTATGGAAGCCTTCCGTCATGTTGATTTGATGTGTTGGTATATTCGGCCACAGTGAATGGATTCATATTGGGAAGGCCTTACGGCCGGTGCCGCCCACCCTGAGGGGGGACGAGGACCACGACCGCGGCGTCGGCGGGCACGACGATGCTGTTGTGTGGCAGAGTCTTCAGGGATGCTTCGTGGGACCTCTTCGGAGGGAGCCTCTTGGGGGTTCCTTCGGGTTTCCTTGGGGCCTCTTGGGGACCCATTGGGGCCTCTTGGGGGCTCCCGGGGGCCTCTTGGGGCCTCCTGATAGTTTCTCGGGGCCGAGGGCTCGAGATGTTCATTCAGGCTCCCGTGTGGGAGCCCTGTTGGAACTGCTTTAGGGGCCTCTTGGGCGTCTGGGAGGCTTCTAGGGCCGTCGTCTTGAGGTCCTTTTGGGTCGTTTGGAGGCCGTCTTGGAAACCTCTTGGGGGCCTCGTGTGTCGATCGTGGTGGCATATTTGGCCGTCTTGGGGCCGAGAAGGCGACAACGCCAGAATCCCTCAAACACCTAAAGAAATGTATGGAGTTTTGTTTGTTGGGGCCCTCATGGTGTGCTCTTGGAGGCCTCTCCGAGCGTCTTGGCAGTCCCGTGTGCTGTCAGGATGCCATGTTTGGCGTCTTGGGTCCATTGTTAGGCGATTCGGCGCCCTCTCGGACGTCTTGGGGGCCTCGTGGACTGTCTTCGGGCCCTCTTTGGGCCCTTGGACCTCCCAGGGGAGATGGCATTCTGCCTGAGTGCCCCCCCCCACCCTCTGGTGGAGGCCTTCGGCTCAACTACGACGTTGCTCAATTTCGCATTGGTTTCGCTTTGGCTGGTTCGATTGAGGAGGAGGGTCCAGTGAAAGGGGGGGAGCGGCGACGGGCCCATTGAAAAGGGGGGCGAACGCGACGGCGACGACGACGACGACAAGGAGGACGACCACGACCACGACCACGACGACGACGACGACCACGACGTCGACTTAAATAGAAGAGCGTCTATCACACGCAGACAAGGTCGACCACTTTTCTACTACAGGTGGATTTGGCTTAAGGGTGTACTTGCTTAACTGAAAAGAAAGAGAACCACTGGCGGTAGGTCGGAAGGTGGCTTGGCGCCGGTTCCCCGTTTCAGAATGTGGCTTGAATTCCAAGCCCACATGTTCCGCAGGATCCCGTGCTGCACAGGCGATCCCAACGCGTTGTGTGAAAATTGTTGTGTTGTTATGTAGCTTCCCTCTTCTGTGAAAATGGCCTGGTCGAGTGTAGGTATAAGTAGCCATGTTTCGGGCGACGCTCCAAGACCGCACGCTCCCTACAGTCAGTAGGATACCCGGTTTTCACGATTTCGGGCGGTCGCCCAAGAGGATTGGGAGGAAATCCTACCAGGCCGAGCTGCTGCGCTCCACCTGGGGGGGCCAGAGAGCGTCCTGATATTCATGACCGTCTATTTCCCGACGGGGAGTGGGCAGGCGGCGGCAAGACGGGCACTTATGAACAGGATCCAGCAATGGCTTCGACGACACGCTGACGCATTAGTGGTGCTGGCTGGGGACTTCAATTTCGTGATGAGGGACCAGGACCGCTTTGACCTGGAGTCGTTGGGGCATTCTGGTGACGGAGACGCGGCGGAAGCGACTTATTGGAAGGACACGCTGGAGGCGCAGACATCTTTACGAGAGCTGTACCAAAAGGAGCACACCTTTTTTTCGTCAAGTGGCAGCTCGCGGATAGATCGTACATATACGACCCACCATACTGCGGATTATCTTTCTGGCATGCCGTTTGTCATGGCACTTCCGGTGGACCGGGAGATCTCCGACCACGACGTGCTATCGTTTGGGCGGAGGGCGGATGCCGCGGCAGGCGCGCCAACTCTATCCCAGTGTGTGACCGATCATGTGGATTGGCCTGTCCGAGTAGCGCGAGAGTATCACGAATCGCTCAGACCGCGCCTCGTCGACGGGAGCGGGGCCGACGCTCTGGAGAAGGCGGAGTTGCTCAAGCAGGCGGTGAAGGACGTCACGCACACGATGATCTCATCACACTGCGGCCGCGCGTATCTGGCTCCAGAGAGCGCCCCGCCTTCATCGTCAACAGCCTTCCGGGCCTTGGCTGCTGTCTCCCGGGGGTGGATACGCACTGTGGTGAGCCTTGCGTAATAAAACCCGCGGGTGCGCGCATAACTCGGTTTGCGTCGGTCTGGGAGTGCGGAGAAAGGAGGAGAGGAAACAAGAGGAGGGGGGAGGAGAGAGAGGAGGAAAGAGGAGGAGAGAGGAGGAGGAGAGAGGCAGAGGATAGGAGGAGAGAGAGAGAGAGAGAGAGAGAGAGAGAGAGAGAGAGAGAGAGAGAGAGAGAGAGAGAGAGAGAGAGAGAGAGAGAGAGAGAGAAAAAAACAAAAAAAAGGAGGAGGAGGGAGAGGAGGAGGGAGAAGGAGGAGGGAGGAGGAGCAGGGAGATGGCAGGTAGGAGAGAGAGAGAGAGAGAGAGAGAGAGAGAGAGAGAGAGAGAGAGAGAGAGAGAGAGAGAGAGAGAGAGAGAGAGAGAGAGAGAGAGAGAGAGAGAGAGAGAGAGAGAGAGAGAGAGAGAGAGAGAGAGAGAGAGAGAGAGAGAGAGAGAGAAAAAAAAAAATGGAGGAGGAAGGAACAATGAGGAGGAGGGAGAGGAGGAGGGAGGAGGAGGAGGGAGGAGGAGCAGGGCAGTGCTCAGAGAGGAAATAGAGGAAGAGGAGGAGGAGGAGGAGGAGGAGGAGGAGGAGGAGCAGGAAGAGGAGGAGGAGGAGAGAAGAGAGGAGAGTAGGAGGAGGGAGGGAGAGGGAAAGCGCTCGGCCTCCGCCTCCTCCTCCCCTCCTCCTCCCCCTCCCCCGCCCCCGCTGGCTCGGCGGGGCCGCCGCCGCGCGCGCCGCCCGGGCG